AGGTGTGCGAGGCGTTTATCTGTTCTGGTGTTTACAGAGCAAACGGGCCACAGGGCCACAAGGCATCCAGGTCTGCGGACCTCTGATCCATCACAAAGATTATTAATGCATTTTGTAGCCTTGGACTCCTAGAGCTCATGCCTTGGCCTGCGACACATGGTTATCCCCTCGCTCTGTAACCCTACGAATCCACGCTAGTGCTTCCGATGTGGGGGCAAGGCTGTGTGGAGCACAAGCCCACATAGGCTGAACCAGAGTATTTCTGATCGTCCCGGTAAAGTGGGGTTTGGCGAGCATGCTAACCAGTATACCTAGCCGCTGCTACAACTTTATCCTGTACGGCGACCCATCAACCGAGGAGCCTTGGGGCTGGAACATCTAGGGGCACCATTTCTGCATGTACACGTATCTGCACCGCAAGCAGATAATAATTACGCCCGTCTTCATCGGCGCCGAGCCAAACGATATTAATCACGGCCCCTAGAAGGGGACCACGACGATGCTTCAGGAGGAGCAGCTCGGGCCCAGGTCTACAAGGAGATGCACACGGAGGGAATTCTGCCGGACAGGTGGAACGAGGCAGATCAGAGGCACATGGGCGGTACTTTCCAAGATAACAGCGACGCGCCGTGCGAGGGTATCCGGGTGACCCTGTTAGAAGAGAGCGAGAATGACCTCGTCTTTCAAATCCCCAGACAGATACTCATCTACCTGCCCGAGTCTGTCTGGGAAAAGCAGAAGCAATGGATCTAGAACCATCCTGATGAGACGTGGTTCTGCTGCATTGGTGATTGTGGAGACGGAAGATCTGTTCTACTATAGGATTCAAAGTCCGGTTGTCGTGGTTGAGTTTGACCATCACTTGGGGGTATTTTTGCGCAACACGGAACCAGAAATGTATCATATCTACACCATTCAGACGGCGCCAAATGGCGGTGAGTATGGCAGTGCTCTACACGAGGCAAATTATAGACTAGGATGGTCCTTTGAAGAGATAAGGAATTCTCTACCGAGATAATTCGATTTTGTTTATCCGGCAAAGCTTCCGAAGAGCCTGACCAGATATCTTTTGTTAAGCGATTATAAAAGGTCGCGGGCAGATGATCTACTTACTCTACCTAATTCTTCAAGTACACATTAGCAAACCTTCGACCTCTTCTACCTCTTGCACAGAGCCTAGACCGTGCTAATCAGGCCTCACAAGCAGAGAACGGTGATCTAAATCGGCATCGCGTATCTAAGAGGGGGAATTCCCTTTTCTTGGACGTCCATCACGCCTACCGCACGCAGCCGCTACCAAGCGGTCGGGAGAGGCCGGGAGTCCGAGTGAGGAGCGAGAAGTGACAGTCGTGGACGAGATCGAGGGTCGACTTTGACTCTGCCGACCCTCGAGCCACGAGTACAGTAGCTTTGCGGCAGCTTGGAATGACGGCTCGTAGAGAGCACAGTCCTCCCGCAAATGCTCCTTTGTGATTTTAAGAACGTTGCCTCGTCGTAAATGTAGCCCAGCTGGAGAGACCCAGCGAGTCAAAGTGGTTACTGTTCAACTCACTTGCCCGTGCAACTCTATCTTGTACACGAGGAGTCTGAATAAGCGCTGTGGGCGTCACTGAATCGTTAGACATTGCTTTTTCCGAATCAGCATCCGCCTCTGCACCGAGTCCCCGCATGTGAACTTCGTTGACGGCAGACTGCACTGCGTTCGCCAGAACTAGGGGCTTGCGTTCCAAGGTGTACGAGCTCAGGAAAGCCTCGGGATACTTGATCGCGCCGTCTCTAACGTACTTGGGCTTCCCCACGAGATTGTGTGCGTCAGCGATTCCCATGTTCTTGCCGAGTCCGCCCATGGGAGGGAACGTGTAAGCGGCATCTCCGACCAGGAAGTCCCAGTGCCTGTCGTTGGAGTAGGAGCTCGCAATCTTGGGAGATGTTGTTCAGACCTGAACCGACTAGATATCGGTTGGCCATTCGCGGCCAATGGCGGTGCTGATATCAGCTTTTGTACTTCTCCACGGTGAAGTTAACCAACGGCTCCATAAACGACTCTATATCGACTGAACAGTGCAAAGAGATATAGTTCATCGGAGACTTGGTGGAATCGATGGTGTCAAAGGTCATGCCGGAGATCTGAGTTCTCACGGCCGAGTTCGTGCCATCTGCGCCGATGACGCATGTTAATTCGATAATGGTCTCCTTTCTAGGATCTCGTTCAAGCACCTTAAACAACGATGTCGTTATCGAGCTCATAGCCAACCCAATCCTGCCGCCGATGGATCGTGACTTTGCCGGTAGCCAGTGCCGCCTCTTCCAGCGACCGTTTAAGCTCTGGCTGTGCGAGGTTGAATAGTGGCTCCGGTGCCAGGGCCTTGGCGGCTTCTTCTTGTCGTTCGTATAGCAGACAGCCGATTGTTCTCTCGTCAGATTGGTCAGAAACCCTACCTTGTCTCCGCTCTCACTCGACACCTCTTGGCGGGTAAGTGCTGCAACGTCGATTCCGGCATGTCTCAAAATTTCCAGCGATCGCGCATTGATAACATGCGCCTTTGGCTCCCCAAACTGTGAAGCGTGGCGCTCGACAATTGCGCAACTAGCGCCTTGGTTCGCGAATAGAACCGCCGTAACAAGTCCAGTCGGGCCGCAGCCGACGACGAGGACGTTCGTCATCTGCGGTGGCGAGATTAACAGTCGCTCGTCCCTTGGACGCAACTGATCGAAGTGAGCCACCATTAGTGGCGACTGAGAATCATTGCTCAATCCACTGAAGCACTAATAAAATTAGGAAACCAGGCATTCGGAAGTGTGGGAGTCAGTGGCACTTAGGGGCGGACGTGGCTGCAAACATGCCCTAGATCGCTCGGAGAAGCGGAGGCAGGCATGGGGACCCCCGAATCATTTTTTTGCTACTGCTACGCAATGGACTATTAGAAGCTGCAGTGATAAAGCGGATTCACGATAGCCTGCGTCGTTTGATGATCAGGTTTTCGAAAATGGCAAAACGAGCCGACGTCGTCATTGTTGGCGCTGGAATTGGAGGTATCTCGGGCAGTCATCCCCGCTCCTCTGCAGATTTCTAACAAAGCCTAGGCCTCGCTGCGGCAGTGGCGCTCTTGACAGAATCCCAGCTCTCTCAAACACCGTATAACATCACTGTTCTTGAGAGCGCCTCTGAGATTTGTGAAATCGGCGCAGGTATCCAGGTGACGCCAAACTTCACCCGGCTGCTCGACCAGTGGGGTCTCGCAGATGAAATAGCCAGGACCGGATGGAAGCCCGGACAGGTGAAGCAAGTGCGCTGGCAGAACGGCGCGGAGCTGACCAAGTTTCCGCTCAATAGAGACGACCGCATGAAGAACCAGTTTGGGTACTACTACTTCCATATCCACCGTGCAGATCTGCACGGCGCACTTATGCGGCGGGCGGAGCAGCTGGGGACGAAGATGTACACGAAAAGCAATGTCGTAAAGTACATTCCACGGACCGAAAACTCGAAAGACACCGTCGAGACGGTCGACGGGAGGAAGTTTGAAGCAGACCTTGTAATCGCTGCGGATGGAGCCAAGTCCATGTTTATAAAGGAGGTTCTCGGGACCGACACGCCAGCCGAGCCCACCGGAGACTGCGCATACCGGGGCATGATGAGGCGCGAGTGCGTGCAGGACCCGGCTTTTGAAGGCTTGGAGTTAGAGAACGGCTCAGTCGTCTGGCTGGGCCATGGTGCCCACATTGTCGGGTATTTGATCCGGGGCGGAGAGTTCTACAACCTGGTCGTGCTCATGCCAGAGGGCGACGACATTCAAGAAGAGAGCTGGACGCTCAAAGGAGAGCCCAAGAAGCTGAAAGATTTCTTTGAAACTTGGGATCCGCGTCTGCGAAAGCTCCTCGAGATGGTTGACACGACCTACATGTGGAGTTTGAGAGATCGGCCTGCGCTCGAGAAATGGGTCCATCCCACTGGAAATCTCGTATTGATCGGAGACGCCGCTCATCCGATGCTCCCATACGTGGGGCAAGGTGCTGCTAGCGCTGCCGAAGACGCTGCCGCTCTGGCAGAGTGTTTGAACGCCGTTGGAGAACGCCATTCGCTCAGAGACGTGCTTGATGCTTTCCAAAAGCTGAGGATTCCGAGGGCTTTCTCTATGCGCGAGGCAGGAAGGAGAAACAGACAATACTTCCACTTTCCGGATGGTAAGTTGGCTTTGATGTGTACCAATAGACGCTAACAGGAGTAAAGGACAGGAGCAAAGAGAGCGGGACCAGGCGCTGGCAAAGGAATCCGAAACGTCATCAACTCCTAACCAGCTGAACGATGACAAGGTGTTGCAGGGCATGTACGGATACGATGTTATCAAGGAAGCAAAGGCACTGTTTGAAGGGTAGATTGCCTCTAGACTATGTAGTATATTGGTTATGAACAGAAGAAGAATATAGTGGTGTTGTGTTGATCGTTTTGGCGTGTCAATCAATCACGGAAACAATCGGTAACCTGCCAGAGGTAGTGAGATCCATATCCGACCTAGCGTATTCGTCAATCTTAACGGGCTGGTGATATTTTCCCACCAGGTTTTGTTATTTTTCCACCAAATGCTATTTTCCCACCACGCTAGCAATGGTGGAAATTAAATTCTTAATTAGGACTAGCTCCTCCTAATCCTACCAGCGCTGGTATACTCCACATGTCACTATTGTCACCTCTTTTCTACTGAGGAAGTTTGAAGCGCATCTTAAAAGCCTCGTCCTATTGATGTATCAAAGCTACTAACGTCGCTGTCTCTTGCGCGGGCTAAGCCCTTTCCAAGCATTTGAAGCCATCTCTGCTGCAGCACGTCTAGGACGCTCTCT